ATATATATATATAATATGTATGTATGTATGTATGTATATACACATATATCTACCAGTACATATATATGAATATATATACATATACGCAGTATATATGTATATATACTGCATATATAGATAAAAAAATTAAAAATCAGTTTGAATTAATATAGACATATATACATACATGTATTTATTATATATGTGTATATATATATACATATATTCATTATATATATATATATATAGCATATATGAATTCACACACATAAACACAGTATCCCACAGAAGTGGACGTGGTCCTCAGTGAAAGTGAGTCCATTACCAGAAACCTCTACATCCTCTTTATTTATTTCTTCTCAGCTTCCTCGGTTTACTCTCCAGAGTATTTCTCCTCAATTCTGCTGTTTATCACTGTATTTCTTTAACAGTTTGTCAGAGAGAGAAGGGCTGAGGTGAAGTGAGCCAACACTTTTCTGTTAGAACCCAAAACAAATCAGCTGTTCACTCATATAAACATGCCCCTACACTTGGCCACAAACATATAATTATCATATATCTTACACACCTCCCCGCAAGCACACACACACACACACACACATCTGCCGAGCTGCTCTTGTAACGGCGGTGAGATATGCTGTGATGTGTATCAGTAAAAACTAAATACCAACCCAGTGTAACCCCTTAGTTGGTTCCCATGACGACCCCTGGACACTTGTCTGTGTTAGCCAACTAGGTCTTAAAGAATGAATGAAATACACACATGTGAACACGTGTGTGCGTGGACAAACGCGTGGCCCACACACCAACACTAGCCTCTGGAATTTAAGCACTAGTAAACCTCCACGAAGCAGCCTCAGTAACCTTCACCTTCCTCTCACCCAGTCGCATCTGGTTATCGCTCTCTCTCCACACAACGCACGCGCACACACACACACACACACACACAGATCTCCACATGTGCATGTTGGGACCATGCACGCACACGCGCACTCAGATCTCCACATGTGCATGTTGGGACCGTGCACTCGCACACGCACACGCACACACTTGAACATCAGTACTTTTGTAATGGATGTGTTTGCAGTGCTGCTGTGGGAGAGAGGAGAGACCTGCAGTAGATGTTATAAATCACTTGCTTGTTCCCCTTTCCCCCCAATAATGCACACACACACACACACACACACACACACAGAGTCCAACGTGATGCCACGTTCTCCCCCTACTTCCCTCTTTACCGCCTGAGGTGGGGAAATCCTATTACCCTATGGAGAGGAAGAACACATCATTGATTACACCCACATTCTCTGTTACACACAAACAGCTTCAATTGCAACACACACACTCCCTCACTGACTGTACTCACTCACAGTGATCACAGCCGGCCACCGTCCAGAGTCCAGAGTGATGAAATGTTCTATTTTGTACATGTCAGATGCATCCTGATGATGAGCTGGTAGCTCTCTCTCTCTCTGTCTCTTTCTCTCTCTCTCTCTCTCACACACACACACACACAAGCACACCAAACACAGAAATATGTGTGAATGCGTAAGAGAGTAAAAGTTACCATCGATCGCCCGACAGAGATTCCTGGGAACACGGACAGGCAGATCTGGGATTGTCACCCTCAGATTTATCACCGCTTCGACAGCCTTTTCAAGGTTTACCAGATAGATGGATGCCATAAAGTGACACATGTGCTCTTTAAAATGAATAGAGGAGAAGTAAGCCATGCATAGCCGAGCTGTCGGCGGGAGTGTTTATTCACCAAGGTGGGCACCTTTAGGACACATTAAGTCATGGCTGTCAGAGCAAAAATAGAGCAAATGACCTCACTCCAGTGAGGTCACACATGTCGTCTGACATCGTCTGAACAGAACTGGCCCGCATCATTGATTGTATATAGGGTGTATTAACAAAAAAAAAAGAAAGAAAGAAAAAAGAAAAGGGACTTGAGCACTGACCTTGCTGCTCTCCTGCTCACTGGGCCTCTGCTCACTGTATCTATTGTCCTATTCATTTATTCCTGTGGAGAACACAAAGAACAGAACGCTGCGGAGAAGGCACCTATATCAATGCATGTGGGATTTTTATATACAAATACACTCACGTGGAACCTTAACTATTGTAATAGGAGTTAAAGCAGTCTATAGCACACGTATCAAACTCAGGCCCGGGGGCCCAAATCTGGCCCGCAACGTAATTCTATTTGGCCCGTGAGATCATATCAAACCTGTATTGGATTTGTAGTATTAGAGGTGTCTCCGCACTTACAAAAGGTAATAACACATACATTTGGTTAGCCTGTGTTTTATTTCAAATTTGATTTCTCAGGTGTTTATGATATTAAGCTTTCATTGTTCCAAATTCAATGTTTATGCAAAAGATAAGTTTGTTTCCATATGAAAAAAAAACATATCTGGAGAGAAGGAAAAACATACACATTTACAGTATTTTTTTCAATAAACAGTCTGGCCTGAGACTTCATCCCAGTTTTTAATTTTGGCCCACTGTGAATTCTAGTTTGACCCCCCTGCCATTTTTTTTTTGTACCTTAAATATTGTATATTTGTGATACCACGCTTTCCAATTCTGACACCTGGAAACATTTTTGTACAACTGTCTCCCACCTGGTGAGTTTTGCCAGTTCTTTGTCTCTTCTACGTTCTAAGTTCTTTTGTTCTTGCTGTCAACCTTTCACCAGTGTCAGCTTGAGCATCACTTCATAAGTTGTTTTTTAATTCTAACTTCACATGAACAGTTTAACACAATACTTTGTCAACAAAATTCACTGTAATAAGCCGGGGTAATTAGAAATTAGTTTGAATTGTTTTATTTACTATTTGATGTTTATCGTTTCCTCACTGTATTAGATCAGTGGTTCTCAAACCATGGAACAGGTACAACCTGTGATACTTGGGCTCCCTCTAGTGGTACGCCGGAGTATCCAAATCCCATTAGGACTGTGTGAGTCATTAAGCAGGTAAATACAGCTGTTTTATATTCTCACCTGATCTCCATGTTTATGTGCGTGTGTGTGGGATTTTAAGAATCGAATGTGAGCCATCGTCAGTGGATTTAGCTGATGAATCGTGTAATAATCGTCAATTCCTTCTTCGTACATTGTGCTTTCCTGAACAGCTGTATTTTAATGATGGTCATACTGGTGGTTCTGGGAGAACCAGTTATTCTGTATCGCGGTACGTGGTGTAAAAAGTTGAGAACCAGTTTCACACTGATCAGTTCCTCTTTACGGTGTAAACGGTGGGGTCTGTCAGAATGAAATGGTTTTTAGTATCACAGCTCCCCGGCTGCGTCACCTTCTCGTCATCACTCACCATTTCCCCAATATTCAGGCTCCAAATATCTTAATTTCCCACTGTTATTCGGACAGGACAAAAAATAGAGAAGTATTTTTTTAGAGTAATCTCGGTTCAACATATTCACTTATAAACGACCACAGCGCCATCAGGTGGATAATAGCCGTAACTGCACAACTAAACGATGACGGTCTTCGCAACATGAATGATTACAGGAGAGTCACAACTAAAATAACGAAGGAATGACAATATTTAATTTACATTAAATCCCCTGCAAGAATCCCATGTGTTGCTCTCTGTTTTATATAGCCTAATATAATAAATAATAATATAATACAACAGCAACAATAATAATTATCCTTTGTGAATGTAGAGAGGACATAATTATATATATATATATATATTATAATGTCTGTGTTTTTGTGTTTTAAACCCGTTTTGAAGCACTTCCTTTTCTTTCAAAGGATTTAATTTCCTCTTTGTTTGGTTCCCTTGGCAGCGATAAGCTGTTCCCCTTTGATTTGCATATTGTGTCCTCAGTGTCTACCACAAGCACATTATTTGAATCGCTGTGCCTAATCTCAATTTTGTCAATTTAGTCAACAGTTCTCTGTCCTGTATCATTCAACGGTTCAACATTACAGAAGTTGAAAATCCTTACAAACTCTGACAGAGACATACTGAGGTCATTGTAATCTCACTCATATCATATCACATCATATTGGTATTGCAATTAACTATCTATCTATCTATCTATCTATCTATCTATCTATCTATCTATCTATCTGTCTGTCTGTCTATCTGTCTGTCTGTCTGTCTATCTATCTGTCTGTCTATCTATCTATCT